ATTGAACACCTTCTCTTATTTAGAGATACCACCTCCTGGCCGCAGTGCAAGGATTGATGGTGGAGAAAGGAGTAATAGTGTAGAGGGACAAGGGTATTAAACCTTCTTTCTTAACTAGAGATAGCAAGTTGAATGGCATTTATCTTGCCGGCAGAGAAAGCAGATCGTCGGCCATCTTAGCCCTGGAGTTCTATAGGGGAGTCAGTTATCAGGAAGCATCTGATAAAAAGAGACAAATGGAAATATATTAGCCACAAGCGAATGTTGTGTATATTTAGATTAACTTTACTTGGTCCAACAATAATGGTTTGTATCGTTATAATGTAAATATAAAGTGTGTGTACGACCATGCTTTGTTATTCCACTCAATCTTGGCTTTTTAATACTGAATTCTTTTTAAGTCTATATGGTGACATGCCCAAATTTTTTATTACACCCTTGATAGTTAATTCTAGCCAGATTGGGGAGGCAACAGAGGTCGAGTACCTGGCCTGGTTCAAGCACTGGCAAGCCACACATGCCCTGGTCGACCCTACTGATATAATTGCAGCAGAGTCAATAAAGTTGGAAGTGGCCCTGACCTCGGAAGAAGTACAGATCATGGAAAAGTTTAAAAAGAACATGCTTTTGCAATACCAGGCTGAATCCCAAATCCTAAAAGCACAGCAAACTTAAGTGGTGCAATTAAGGAATGCAGTGGACTGGATCAACCCCAGTATTGAGGTGGAAGAATCATTCGTAGAGTTCCCATTCAGTACAATATTGGGAGAAAAAGCAAAGCTGATTTCTAAGGTTAATGATACCTTATTGCAGTTGAACTTAGGGCTGGGCCTGTTCCCGGTGGAATGATCGTTCTTTCCCGAGAACAAACGGAACAATCCAAGAACAATCCCATTGTTCCAAAAAAAACTAACGCTTAGAAGGCGTTCATAAAAATATTGGAATGATTAGTAAAAGAAGGGAACAGGAATTGCTTGAAAAGAACGGTTAGACTCGTTAACGTGTTCTTAACACTCTCACAAAATTATACATTGCTCAGCCCAGAAATTATCTAAGCTTATTCTTTTAGCCCTAAATTTAAAATGTATAATTTAAAGGAACGGGAATGGAAACGTTCTTGATTATGAACAGAACAAGAGGGATGCAACCATCAGATGGTGTGTTGACCAGGTCAATAAAGTAACTGTCACAGACTCCTATCCGACCCCAAATATCAGCATTATATTAGACTTGCTGAGCTTGTCAAAAAAATTTTCAACTTTAGATGCAGCTCAAGCGTATCATGCAATTCCGATAGAAGAAAAGTCCTGTTCTTTAACTGCATTTGCTACAGCCTTTGGCCTCTGGCAGTTTGCCCATATGCGTTTTGGCTTGAAAAATGCAAGGAGAGGGTATTGTCATTTAGTACAGCTCGGTTAGTTGTTATGTTGGGGGAGGAGGACAATTTGAAATTCCATGCTAATAATCCTGAAACTCATCTTAAATTGCTTAAATTAGTTTTTCAGGCACACAGAGAATCTGGAATTAAATTGAATGCAGACAAAACATTTGTTTTTAGGCAAGAAGTCGAGTACTTGGGACTCTTGGTCTCTAAGAACAGGATTAAATAATTACCATCTTATGTCAATAAGATAACTGAGTAGCCCCCTGCCAACCACCAGCAAAGAATTATCACCATTCTTTGGTTTTGCTGGTTACTACAGAGAGTTTTTGCCTGTATTTGCTACAGTAACTGCAAATTTTAATGAAGTAAAGAATAAACCTGCTCTAACCTGGACAGAGGATATGATTGATAATTTTAATACTCTAAAATAGATGTTTGTAGCAACACAGTGCTCCAAATGCAAAACCGTTCATACTAACAATTGATTTTAGTAAACACACAGTGGGTGCTGTATTGTCACCGGATAAGAAAGGAGCAGAAGGGTTCCTAGGTGTAAAAGGCCAAAAATGTAGGCCTTATGAATGTTATTATCATAGTAGTAAAGAAAAAATGTTAGCGTTTGTGTACAGATTAACTAAATATTCTCACCTTTTACATTGAACAAGCTTACCGTCATCACTGATTTCCACACTGTTCTTCACTGGAGTACCATGAAGGATAGTGGAGGCACCATCAGGAGATGGTTAGACTATATCGAACAGTTCAACTTTACGGTACCTCATCGTGCAGGTAAGTATAATACTAATGCAAGCTAACTCTCACGAGCAAAACACATGGATGAGCCTACACCATCCTGTATTGACTCAATAACATAAGGCAAAAAAGAGTTATACCCTGTCTTGTACCAAAGGTAAATAATATCTGGGAATATATACCCCCCTCCTGCAAAGGGAAGGTATGTACAATAGTTGTACTCCCTTGGCACTTGGCAGGAGCCAATGGTATAGAAGGCATAGGACCCCCTCTGATAGGAGCTATACAAGGTACAATTGTAATAGATCAGTATGATTTAGAGAAAGCTCAGTGATGTGTTACAGTTGTATATGGTAAGAAAACAATTGAGAATCACAGATGAAAAGGTAACAAAGAAAGCCAAGTTAATTTACTTGTTAGAAGACAAATTCGAGGCTGACCAATGATAAGAATTGTTGTCCCACCCTTGCAAAGGTATCAAGCCCTACCTGCAGTACATGCACATGAACACTGGGGAGTACAGCGTAAATGCAACAGGTTAAAAAGGTTTTTTACTGGCCAGGGTGGAGAAAGGACACAAGTCTCTTTGTCACAGAATGTGCAGGTTGCCTACACAGAGAAGATGTAAACTTAAAACATGTTGAACCTTTTGAGGACCATGCTAAAAACGTCAATGATGTCCTGTGCATTGGACCTTGTTGGTCCACTAACATTGTCAACAAATAAAAATAAGTATATTTTAACAATGCTTGATCAGCTTAGTCTTTTCTGTGTTGTGGTCCCTATTCCTAATAAGTCAGCGAAAACAGTCTCCACAGCTATCCTGAATCATTGGATAGCCTTGTCATGGGTCGCATATAACGCATAAAATTATTGTGCAGTCCTGCGCGCTTATTTCTAGGAAGGAAGACAAACCTGCCTCACCTTTCCTTGCTGCCAAAATTCAGAAACGCCCCCCCCTCCTCCCTCCAAGCCACACACCTTGGAGGGTGTGGTAACAGTTCGCCCAATCATGTTTCACCCAATCACATTTCACCCAAAAGTTTCACCAAATTTTAGGCGAAATAACGTTTCACCCAATTCATGTTTCAGCCAATTCACGTTTCACCCAATTCATGTTTCACCCAATACTATGTTTCACCCAAATTACGATTCACCCAACAAATGTTTCGCCCAAATTACACCTACTTAAGATTTTCACCCAATTTTTTTATTCCTCTAATACATTGCACATGAATTTGTTGCCCAATTTCCGATCATAACTCAAACTCATGGACCGATTTGCCTCAAATTTTGATTGGGGAAATCAGGAGAATCATGGGAATTTTCTTAGATTGGTTAAAAAATTCTAATCTGAGTGGGTCGACTCATATATACGAACAAAGCTGGGTTCCCGAGCTAGTCAAATATATTAATGCAAATTGTTGTAAATTCGCAACTTTTTTTGCTCAAAATCTGCAAACCACATTTGAGCTTAACATAGCAGTGCAGTTAATCACGGGAATTTTCTTAGATTGGTTAAAAAATTACAATCTGAGTGGGTCGACTCATATATACAAACAAAGCTGGGTTCCCGAGCTAGTCAAATATATTAATGCAAATTGTTGTAAATCTGCAACTTTTTTGCTCAAAATCTGCAAACCACATTTGAGCTCAACTGCACGTTACATGTAACTAATTACATAAATGTTCAAAACGGAGGATAGCTTGGCCAGGACCAAGCTACAAGAGCTGGTTACAGTCAGACGTGCCGACCCTAACTGATCTAGAACTGAACGTTGGTCAGCCCAGATGGCAAATCTTAAGGTACCACTCCAAACCTTTAATCCCAATGCCATAAACCATGACCTGGAGATTCAAGAGAAACAAGAAAAAATGTATTTGCTCCATTGGGGAAATAGTTCCCAAGGTTAAAATCCCCACGAAGCAAACAAGATTTAAACAAGGATAGAAAATGATCCTCAATGATCAGAGATAGTTCATGACCTGTGTCCAAATTTAATGAATTTAAGCCACGTCTCAAATCCCCCAAAAACCGGTTTTAATTGACCGCCGGCTTAAATCTTGAAATATTTAATACAAATTTAAGTGGAACCAACCATATTCAAACCGCGGCTTAAATTCTTTCAAATCGGCCTCTGGAGATTTAAGAAAGAATGAAATGTATTTTTCTTCAAAGGGAAAATAGTTCCCAAAAGTTTGAATTCCTACGGGGAAAGCAAGAGGTTAAAACAAGGACAGAAAATGATCCTCAAGGATCGGAGATAAATCATGTCCTGGAGATTCAAGAAACAATGAAAAACATATTCTCAAAGTTAAAATACCTACAGGGAAAACAAAAGTTTAAACAAGGATAGAATAGGGTCCTTAAATATCCGAGATAGATCATGACCTGAAGATTCAAGAAACAAGGGAAAATGTATTTTCTCCAAAGGGGAAATAGTTCCTGGAGAAAACAAGATTTAACAAGGATAGAAAATGATCCTCACGGATCAGGGATATTTCATGGCCTGTAGATTCAAGAAACAACGAAAAATGTATTTTTATCAATAGAAATTTGCCAATAAAAAAAATGTTAGAATCAATTATTTTTTTTTCATCATTATATTGAATTTCTAATTCTATAGAATTTGTTCGCAGATTTCTACAAATTCTTCAAATGTCGATTTCAATAAAAATTCCAGAAAATCTACAGAAAATGTTTGTGAACAATGAGAGATTACAGAAACTAATGACTGAATATTATTTTCGATGATAAGAATTAATTTTTTGTTCTCAACCTGTTCCTATACAACTAATTTTAAAAAAGTTTTCTTAAAGATAGTGGTTGTATCCGCAACTTTTAATGATATGCAATTTTCAGTGTCAGTGAAGTTTTGGTAATTGAGGGTAATACGAAGAATTATGCTCACAGTAAGGTGGAAATATATGATATAAATCAGGGATTCATTGGAGAGCTTCCTGAACTTCCAACACCAAGGTATTTGATCAACATTTCTCAGATAATTTAAGAATAATTTCAACCCGACAATTAATGTAAAATTACATGAAGGAAAAATAACAACATTTAGTTTTAGTTGCTTTCATAAATAAAAACCTTAAACCAACTTCTGTTAAGGGCTGAATTTGGCTGTGCTCTGTTTAACAATGAAGTGTGGGTAGCTGGAGGGGGTGGTGCAGATTTTTCTCTCACTATGCTTGTTGAAGTATTTAACCTTGCTAGTAGAACATGGAGGACAGGACCTAGTATGCGATATGCGCGCGTCGGACTAACTTTGGAGGTGGTTGGGGACGAACTTATTGCTTTTGGAGGCTATGGATATCCAGATTCATTAGAGAGGTTTAATGGTGAGAACTGGATTTTTGATGTTGAACCTATGCATTATCATCATTATCTTCATTCCTCTGTAGTTATTTCGTGTTAAATGTTTTAAACCATAAATAAATTGATAAATAATAAAGCTTTGATGAATAAATATCTTTCTAGGACAACATAATAAATAGATTAAAAATACCAGTGGTGATTCGGTACCAGTAAAAACGTCTGGCGCTAAAAAAAGATCAGAGAGTACAAACCTCGGACTGATATAACGTAAGATTGGGACAAATGTCGGACTTGTATAAACGTTGGACCAGTACAAATGTCGGATGGGTACATAAATAAGGAAAAACATCAACCTTTGCTTGATCTTGAATGGGCCATTGTTTTAAAAATGGATTAAAAAAAACCTCTCTTTTAATGATGAAAATCAGAGATAACTGAAGTCTCCTTTGCTGAGTAATACTGTATAAAAAAAACGGAACAAAAAACTTTAGTTCTTTTCACAAAACTTAGATTTTTTAATCCCTATATGCTTGCAACCCAATGTCATAGATCTTAGATATTTTAAATTATGAATTTTACAAGATCATACAGTATTTAGGTTTGAAAGTATCAAAGTACCCAGTATGTTGCTGACTTGGGAACATTCTGTTGCTATGACTGTCTCGGAGTTCTCATTTCCAAGATGCTTATCGATAGCTTGAAATCTGTCTCCAGGTCTCCAGATTTTGAGGGACAAACATATCATTCCAGCTCTTTAGGACCTTGGGAAACCCGAAATGTTACTAAGATATTTGACTTCCTCATGGCACTTACCCTTTCGTTGGATAGCGTTGGTCATGTTTTTAAGAACAGTTTGTGGACTGATTGCTAGATTTCCAGAGCTGTACTTCACTACTTGTTTCTCTGTTTCACGAATATTTCTCTTTTTAAAAGACCACTGTCATGTGTATGCTCTCTCAAGAAACTAATTCAATTATAATTCTCATTGTTTACAACTTCTCTTGTTGGACAAGAATTTTTTTCCTATGAATGCATTGGTAATAAAGAAAATTACGGTTTGTACTGGTCCAACATTTGTACAAGTCAGAAATGTGTACCAGCCTGGCGTTTGTACTTGTCTAAAGTTTTTACCGTCCGACGTTTGTAAATCTTAGGTTTTTATCGTCCGACGTTTGTACTTTTACCCATAATCCAATTCAAGGGTGCATGAAGATATAAAAAACTTGAATGTTTCATTGCTTTAATGAGGATTTTATCTTTGCCAAAAGTAAGCAGATACATACAGAGTTAGTTGAGTTGAGTTACAAGGTTAAAAAACAAAATTTAAAATTATAAAAATTTTCTTTTTAACTGTTTCTCCACTGTCATATATGATTTAACGATATATCCGTCTTTTCGTTTCTGTCTTTTATACAGTAAGTGAACACATTTCTACTTTACTGGGAAAAATTTTAAAATACTTTTTGCATATAGTGGCTGTAATTTAGAAGATGAAAAAAGTATTTTAAAAAAATCAACTTTTTATGTTTAATAAATTGTCATTGTTTTCCAATTTGTATTGATACTGCTTTCCAATATTTATCCGTAAACTTTTCAAAGAGATTGATAAAAGCATGTAAATAAAGGAAAAACAGCAACATAATATAATATAGGACTACAAAAGGGCGAAAATTAAGGATTAAATTAAAGATTTTCTATTTTGAGTATGATTGAAATTAAGAATTATTTATTTTTTCTTAACACACGAAAAACATCAATATATGAATTTTATCAATTTAGTATTTAAACAATCTTTTCAAAAATGTTTGTTTCTGATTTTAATCCTAAACTAAGAACTAAATAGAGGACTGCTCTACGTCCGACATAGTGATAATTTTAGAAAAGTCACAGAACTTCAAGAATAAAAATTCCAGGCGTAATTATTTTGTTTTCACTTTGACACATTTTTGTAAAAAAAAACACACAAAAAACAGCTGAATACAAAAAATGCACTACATGACTGAAATTGTTTGGAAAATAAAGTAGATAAGAAAAGTACATAATTAATGTTTGTTCCTTTTTTAAATATAGAGATTGGAGAATGTTTATGTAATAAAAAGCTTATAAAAAAATATTGCAAATTATTTTCATTCTTCTTTCTGCAAAAATTACTGAGATTTTTAAAAACTAAAAACAGCTGATATATAAATGGCGGGAACTGCTTTCTCATTTCTTTCTGATAAGATGGCTCAGAATATCCATTGGAACAGGAAATATGATTGTTGAGTTCTTTTCTGCAGATATAGAGTTCAGAGTCTGAAAAAAATATTCAGTAAATAATTTTCATTTACTGATTAAAATTTTATGGGACGTGGTAACCGTAACCTTATTTAAAGAGAGAAATTGTCTATTTCACAACGGTACCCTTAAAAGCTTTGCCAAATCAAGAATGCATAATATCAATCATCTTCTTTTTGAAAGATGATTATTTTAAATTGTGATTGTTTTACAATGTCTGGCATTTATTTAGATACAATATTTAAGTTTTGATTTCTTATAAGTTTTTTTAAATTTAAGTTCAAGTTTGCAAGCAAACTAAGATAAACTTTTAATTAACAGCTTCTCTTTGTTATATGTGTAGCAATGCTAATTGAAAGCTTGGAAGAAATAAAAAAATCAAATCTAAAGTCGTCTTCATTGTATTAATGTATACGAGGACAAATGTATATATAAATGAACTAGTGCTTTTTGCTTCAGAAAAAAATTGTAGGAATGATCAAAATTTAACATTTCTAAAGCGAGAAAAACGGCGACGATATTTCTTGTAAATTATATTAGATAATAATTTAAAATAGGTGCAGACACTGCCACGTTCCTTTAAAGTTTTCTGTACCAAATTTGTAAACGCATTAAAGTTGAAAGTTTTGACACTTAGCCAACACAACTCAACAAAGTCTGAAGTCAGAATCCTTCTGATAGTTTAGTTTTGATGGATCATTGGTAACTTCTGGATTATAAATGAAATAGGACATCTTTATATACATTTTGCTTGTCTGTTTGTTTGTATTCCTAAGGGGAAGATTTATGGATGGTGAGGTCAGAATTAATAAAGAAAAATTCCCTGAAATAATTTTGATTTATCAAAAACCAAGAAAAAAATCCGCGATATTATTTTTGTTATTGGTTGACAATTTAACTAGTGAAAATGAGCAAAATTACAACTTGTTAATGGGTTTTAATGTAGAATATTACAACATTATAAATTTATTTTAAAATCTTGTCATTCTCTTGCAAACATTTATATTGAACTTTGCAAAATTTAAAAAAATTAAAATTATAAAAAAAATTATTAAAAAATATTACTCCTGATTAGAAGGCAGGTATTTTGTCAGTATCAATTTGTATTTATAGGAAAAGTTTTCAAAAGGTTTTTAAAGATTTTACTACTAAGCATCTAACAACTCAATCAACGTAAAAATTCCATTTTTTTGCGTAATTAAAGATTGGTTCTTGAACTTTAAAGGAATTGAGTCTTTAACACAAAATTAAATTTTCTAATCCCTATATCTTTGCAATGCAATGGTGTAAACATTTAATATTTAAAACTTTATTATTTTGATCTCCCTGAATTCATAGTTTGAAATATCTAAGGTTCAATAGATATAAAGATTTGAAAATCAGAGTTTTTGGCAAAGACTCAGTTCCTTTAAAGAAAAAAAATTGTATGATGAAAGATTCTGCACGGGTTTAATAATTTTTATTCACATAAGCCTACAAGAGCATTAGGTCTGTACTAATTTGAATGTCGTTTTTCTCATCAATTTTAGAATAAATGGAAAAATTGGAATTTCATGATAGGTTCTTTTTGAAATATCCAAGTTTTTGAACATTTTATAGGAGAACATATAGAAAGACATTACGTATATGGACAACAATAATCAAACAGGACATTAGATTGATAGGACATTTTATAGGAGAACATATAGAAAGACATTACGTATATGGACAACAATAATTAAACAGGACATTTGATTGATAGGACATTTCATAGGAGAACATATAGAAAGACATTACGTATATGGACAACAATAATCAAACAGGACATTTGATTGATAGAACATTTTATAGACAAAGAATATTTATCTATGATCTATGGATTTACTTTCTTTGAGATATCCCGACATTGAAGAAATTGTTATAAAATGACCTGAAGGTATCTAAGTTGTAAGGCTGAAGGAGACTCTGCTATTATCAAGGAGGCTTCTCTCAGTGCTCTGCTGGCCTTCTGCTCTCCCTCTGCAGCAATCACCTACAATTAGGAAGTAGGGTTTACATAGGAAGCAAATTGTGTGAAAATTTTTATCTATAATCTGTCCATAATTACGCAATGTTTTCGCGAAATTTAAGCTATCGTTTTAAAGCATACACATTTTGCGCATTTATTATGAAAAGTTTCGGCAGAAAGCGAAATTTGTGTGGACATTTTTGGGGAAAAATCGCAATCTGCAGCACATTATGCAATTTTCACGCAGGGATTTTTCCATTCTTCCGGACAAGAAAAGACAATACAGAGATCTCTGTAAAGGCTTGTATATGTGACATTTTCTCCATCTCATATCGTATCGCAAAATAATCAATTTAATTTCTGACAAATCATTCAAATATTACAACCTAAAGTCATCACTATTTTTCGATGCATTCGTATAAAGTTAATATTAATATGAAATTTGTTATTTGTTTTATGTATACAATGCTCTTAAAACAACTTTTTTCCGCTAGCTGTCTCTGCCACTTGTAATCATTCAAAGCATCGAGGGCTGAGACATCTGGCGGCCAACTATTTCGGCGTTTTAATATCATTGTACATACATTAAGAAATATTAAATATTAACTATTTAAGAATGCGTCGAAAAATAATCGATGACTACAGGTTGTAATATCTGAATGATTTGTTTGAAATTAAATATTTTTTACGATCCGAGTCGTATATTGCAATTTTCTAAATTTGTATGGACGCTACGTTCTTCAGTATAAGCAGCTTTTAACAATTTTCTCCTCATAGACGCAACAGATATAAGTAAGATTAGTAGCGCTCAAAAGCTATTATTTTTCGCCGTATGCCTATATGTACCTCCTTTCAGTTTTCGCGAACACTCCCTTTAAGCCCTTTTACTTTATGTTATTCGAAAAGTGTTCAGACTTAAAATCATTTCTGGTCAATCTTGAAATTGGCCGTAAAATAACCTTCAACTTGAATTTATATGGTTCCTTCCATAGATAAATAAACGTTGATTAAGAAATGAGATCATGTGAATTTAGCTAAACTAACGTTGATTAAGAAAAGAAATCATGTGGATTTATCTAAACTAACGTTGATTAAGAAATGAGATCATGTGGATTTATCTAAACTAACGCCGATTAAGAAAAGAGATCATGTGAATTTATCAAAACTTTTCTGTTGTTTACACCAGATCAAGCAGTTATCAGTATCTTTTATCGTCCGGCAGGGATAACTAAAATTGAAGTTTTAAGCACCTCAAATTTAAAAGGTACCAAAGTGGATATCAAAAATCAGCATTACACATTAAAGTCATCTCACAAACAAGAGTTTGTACCTGCTGAACAAATGGAAAATCTGTTTTTTTCATGAGATATCATAAAAAAAAATTTCTAACGTGCTGAATTTTTTTTATAAAAGCTGTCCATAAACCTGAAACGCCAATAATTCTAAGTAAACATAAACTTAAAAACCAACATTTCGAAAGTAACGAAAATTTTGTCATAATATTAAAAGACCCCTAGCTCCTAGGAAAAAGATTGGTTGAGTTTATCTATAAAGATTGGCAACCTTCTACCCTTTTATTTGAGAACAAGTCCTGTGTCAGTGAACAATGCCAAAATCAACAGAACTTGTCAAATTAACATCATAAAAATGTAATCATTCCCTTCCTTCCTGTCTAATATGTAAACAGGGTAAACATTTTAAAAAAAGAAACTAATAACCCCCCTCGGAATCCTCCCACTCAACAGGAAAAAAATCAACCTAAGTATATAGGTGTAAGTAGATAAGTTTCTTTTTTAAATGGGGAAAGAATTTATTTTTTTCGAAATTTCACCAAAACTATCTTTGATATTTTGTTTCGCTGATTTGTGCATATGATTAATCTAACTAGTTAAATAAACTAAGGAACTGAGTTCATGACACAATCGCTAATATTCTAATATTTATAACTTTGCAACCAAATGTCGTACCTTTAATATTTCAAATAATTTAATTTCAGATATCACACCATCAAGTTGCCAAGATTTTTTTGCAAACTAATTATATATTAAACCTTCGCTATAATTGATCTAGCAAAATTAGTAATTTCAAATGTCAAAGGCCCACGACATTCAGTTCTTTTTAGCAAGGATTATCAATTCATAATCTGTTAGATTGAAACAGAAACATACCTTAGCCCTAGCTTCTCTAGCTGCTTCTGCTTCAGCTGCCATAGCTCGTTGTAGTTGCACAGGCAGTCTCACATCTTTTCTAAAATAGAAAATAAAATAAATTTTGTTTCTCTATTGAAAAATATTAACATCTACAGTGATAACCAGAAAACAATGGAATAGGAAGACGACATTATAACAATACTTAAGTGTATTTGATGTTGTTACAAATCAAATAGTTTAACCAGACACTAATAAAATTACTTTTTTTTGTGAAATGGGTCTGTTTAAACTGCAAAATTGCTGTGTTTTATGGTTATTGAAATTTTAAAAGTTTAAACTTGATTCTCAAAGTCGTCGTACTATTCCAGAGTTTTCTGGTTATCACTGTATATAAATACTTTACTCTGTTTGTATTCAATAAACATCACAACGGCTAAACCGATCCAGCCCGAATTTTGTGGATTTATACATGACTCAAGGGAAGGTTTATGAACAGTCAGAAGTAAAAATAATTTGCCTAAAAATAATTTAATTTTTCAAAATCTTCAAAAAAAGTTTGTTATTGAAAATCTAAAGTGTGCGTAAAGCACCATTAACAGTTTAGTGTTTTTACAATTGTAATGACCATTTCAAAGATATCTTTTAGATAAATTCTTTTAAAATTTTGTTAAAAATTATTTTGTACAGTTTTATAAACAGGCCTAGCTTTATAAAGTGTTATTAATTCTTGATACTAAATCATCGTCTAAAGTTTCTAGACCCCTTATTTTGTTGTTCGGGTGAATCTTTCATATCATTGATTTCTTTCATTTTGAATTCTTTGATTAAATCTTGAAGTTTAAATTACTTTTTGACAATTCAAGAACTTTCCAAATAATATTCATCCATCATATTTTAAATCCGTTATTATGTCATTTTACTCGTTCTCAGATAAACTTTTTAAATTCAGCATCAGAATGTGTTTCAGGTATAGTAAACCCGTTTTTTAACCTCAAAAATTTCTTGATAATGGAATAATTCAATTCGTCCCATTTCATACACTTACATTTCGACTCGTTCTACTTTGACTCCCCAAGGGTCAGTTGCCTCATCAAGGGTGGTTTCCATCCAATGAGCTATTTGTTCTCGCTCAGAGAGTATTTCTGCCAAACATTTAGTTCCCAACACATTTCTGAAACATTTTGGTGACACATCCATTACTGTCACTAACGGCAGACTGCAAATTGGGCAGTATGTTTTTTTCATTATATTGATCTTCGGATTTCTTACATTTTGCAAAATTTTGACAAATTATCGGCATTTTAAAAAATCAAATCAAATCAAATCAATAAACTTAGTCTTCTGTTATTTTCTAAATCTTCTGTCTCAGGGTAAAAAAATCGCTTATTGTAAAAAAAGAGAAAACAACTAAAGAATAAGATTCTGCAACTATTTGGAGCGGACTGAAACCCTATAATTTAAAATGTTAGAAATTGTAAAAAAAATGGCAAATTTTTAGTCCAGTTCTAGTGAAATGTTGTCTTTGAAAGCTTTGGATATTGCTATTTTATTTTTTTTTGTCATGCGCAGCAAAACTAATCAGAAAATACAGTGCACAAATTCAAGTAAATAACAGTGTTATGAAAAATAAAATTCTATTAATTTAGGACATACAGTCTCTTAACATTTGAGAAAATTTACCTTAGTGTGGTAGCTCCTAAAAGATGCGTGGAATGACCATAATCTTCCACATTATTTGTGGCCATAGTAGGGTTAGATACTCTGTAGTAGACCACAGCATCCACTGTCACTGTCACAGAATCACGCGAGAGCACCTGAAGAAGTTAAATGAGTGACATTTTATTTTCAGCATTCATGAAGTAAAAAAAAAAAATATTGCTTCTTTTTACATTTCATCAATTTTATTTTTTCAAACGCTAAAAAATCTAAATTATAGTATAGGATTTATATACTTGCAATATATATTACATATAAAATTTTTATGTTTTGTACGATATTTTTAACAATACTGACCTCTTGTGGCGGTACATCAAAGGATACAGTTCTGAGGTCCACCTTTTTGTATGAGTCAATGCAGGGAATCACGAAAAAAATTCCTGGACCTTTTGCTCCACCCTTAAAGCACAATAATCAAAATTTTGCGCATAATTTAAAATTGAAAAGTCATATACATAATTAAGAGTAACCTTTTATAAATGTTTAAAGCATAAAGACGAAGCAGATATAGTACAGAAGTGATTATTTATTCATTTTTTTCTTATTTTCTTCATTTCATTGTGAAAAATTTAAAAAAAGGACTATTGTTTACATGAAATTTAGAGCTTTTTCGCTTTTTTAAAATTGTTTTTTTAGTTATCAAATAATAGCAATCACGTGCAAGCTGCCTAAAACATGCTCTTTTCAAAAGGGGTTTGTTCTTTCTGTGAAAAGTTGTTCAAGGGTTTAAAATGATTTTTAGTTTGTTTTAGTACTCTCCTTTAACATTTATTGCATTTTTATCGAATGTAGGCCAAAGACACACATGCCAACAATTTTGTAATAAAATACATCTTTATACCAGACTGTATGGCAGCCAGGTGACTGCAAAAAACATTGGCATCATTGCAGTTTATTTTGCCTAACATCAGGGAATAAAGCAGTGCGTTCTAGTTCTGTATTCATCTAAGATATACATGGAATACTTATTTAATATCTTTAATTCAAATTAAGCTGCTCTAAATGTCTTTAGTTTTCTCTATATAATAATATTCGGCTAAGTTTAAGGTTTAAAGAGTGTCATCGCCAATCACTTGTGGCACTAAGTCTTTAGATATAGGTTCACTTAAACAATCACTTTAAAGTCAGATAGCTAAATTATATTCCAGGAATTAGGAGAAAACATTTGTGCAACGTATTTACCCCTGTTTCTCGATAAACATGGAGAAAGAAGTATTGGCATCAATCTAGGGGTTTTTCACTTCAAATTGAAAAAGATGATCTACAGACTGATTGGAGAGGACTGGAATTAAAGGGACTGTTAATGTAATTTCAAGTGATCCTAAATTAAATGAGGCATATCAAAATACCCTTTAAAGCTGATCAAAAAGGTGGAAGAAATCGTCGTTTAAAAAGTGATAAATTCTAATAACTTTCCCCATTTATATATATACTTCACATAGAAACCACACACACTGAACTAAACAGAGGGTAAATGTCAAATTTATGCAAGATAACTATCACGACTTTGAGACGTCGTAGGTCCTCTTGTTCATCCGGTTACATATAAAAACTTAAAACTTTTTGTTCTTCTTAATAGCTTTAAAATAAGAGAAGTTATGCTTGAAAACATAAAATATTTCAAACTATTATGGAATTTACTGTAGTTTGCCGTGCACAATGATTAAACAAAGGTTCCTTTAAGATGTCCTACTTCAATCATTTATTTTCATTAAATGCAGTGTCTTTCAATTTTAAATTTTGTTGTATACAAAAAGTATCCTCACTTCATATGTACACACTTTACAACTTTTTATTTCGGCGTGTCAAATTAAATTTTAAATTTCATTTTTTATTTTTTAATATATCATATATCATGAGACACTGTTTTTTGTATTCAAAATATATTATAAAAAGATTGATGTGTTTTTACTGATACATATACTGATACTATAAAAGTATAAAAAATAAAAGTGTGGAAAAGGAAGACGACCTAAAGTCAATGTTTTTGTGTCCATGTGTATTTGATGTTGATTTTCAAGCAAATAGTTTAACCAACTGCTCGAAAATTAACTTATTAATTGGAATGGGCCTGTGCACACTGCACAATTGCCTTTTTATATAAATTGAATTAGTTAAAGTTATGAATTTAGTTTAACAGTCGACTTTATATTCCACAATTTTATGGTTTTCACTGTATAAATACAATGAGAACCAGAAAACTCTCGAATTGAATGATGAATCAATTTATGAATATGAAACAACCCAACTGTGCAGTAACCCAATTTAACTTAATAGGTGACTTAATAGATTACTATTTAAAGTATTTGCTGCATATCAACATCAAATATACTTAAGAATTGCTATAATGTCGTCATTTTTACACAGTTTTCTGGGTCTCACTGTAAATATATATATCTCTAACCTTTCTAAGTCTACCAAGTCTAAATATTACAGCACGTTCATATTCCTGAACAACCTGACAACAAGTGATTGATAAATTGATTGATTATATTTATAATAATGTTCATTGATTAATTTTAAGACGTATGTTTTAATGAGAAGTTAGAGTTTTTCTCAAGCGGCATCTTCAAAAAGTACTTTGATGGATTTTCAGTTTTTATGAAAATCTAAGTGATTGATTAAAAAAAGTAGCAAATTGCTACTAAAAAGATAACCGTATAATGATATATTCTATAGATACTTCATTTCCTTTTTTTTTGCAAAAATATCATTTTCTGCGTTAAAAACATAAAAAAAATTTTTTTTTTAAATTCAGGTTTGAATATTATTGATGTTTGAATGATGTTTGATGAATCAGAAATCAAGGTTGATAGCTCCCTTCCCCTTTTAAAAATAGATTTTGTGATGTCTAAGGTTTGTTTAGAATTTTATTGGATGCTTTGGAGAATATTAATAAATGTTTGGGTAAAAAATATTATATTGGCGAAAACCTTCCTTTTGAATGATAAGCCCCTGTTATAGCAAACTTACCTTTATGCACATGCAAAGTGAAATTGGCATTGTTGCAATAATAAGAATAAGGGAAAGAAGGGCAAGGAGTAGAGCACAGCAGCCTGGGCCCTCAGGGTCAGCTAAAATAATCAGGATATAAAATACATTTGATTTTATAAATTTTCAAAATTTATGATAAACAGCTTTCAACTAAACGTATTCAAAAAGTTTAGCATATTTGACCCATTTTAAAAATTAGATTAAAATAAGTTGAATATTTTACTTGGAGGAAATGACAAGTATAATATTTCGTAATTGAAAAAGACAAAATATAAGAATAAGAAAGAGAACTAACAAAGTATCAATGTAAAAGAATATTCGATTTTTAAATTTTTAAATTGTTTTAAGCCCATGGTTTGTGGACTCAAAAATTTATCTTACTTGCTGGTATAATAATAATTAATAATATCTATATTAGAAGATAAATAAAGAAATGTTGAGAGACAGTATAGATGGCTCTGTGGTACATTTTGGCCTCCAAATCCAGCCTGTTTGGTACACTTTGCCACCTACTGGCTAAGAAAAACAATTTTCAAATGAAAAGTTTTTTTGTAAATGTAGAATAGCACCGATTAACATGAAAATAGCACCGATTTGTTGATATCTTACGATTAACATGAAAATGGCTGATTCTCCTTCGTATAGTTTTTTGATGGTACATTCCAACATCAAGAAGATTTTCTACATCCTGATGAAATGTGCATTCACTACATTACTATTTGACCATTGGTTGAAAAAACCTAATTCAAATATGACAATTCCTGCTTAAACAAATTGTGTACAAAAACTAATTTTTAATGCTTTTTGTAGTGATTGTGCCTCAAGATTTTCTCTAAAGCTAAAAAACGCACATTCAAAGATTGCGTAAGCTTTTTATCGAGGTAAATGAGCTTTTTACAGTAAAGTAAAGCAAAAGTAAAAATGATCGAGACTAGAGCTTTACGAAGATTGTTAGAAAAAAATCATCATTACTTGTTTTCTTACCAAAACAAGAAAAACTTGCTCAACCTTTCAATAATACACCCCAAAACAATGTAATCAGGAACCATTATATACTTTATACATATTCTCTTTCCGGCATCTTACTTGAATCAAGATAAAACCCCTTAAGGCTTTGTTTGGTTTTATATACACATAATGTCTGCGATTGTTATGTTTTTGACAAAAAATATCAAAAAAATTTTCCACGAAAAAATAATAAAAGTGGTTTCATAATTATTAAATCTTTTTTATTTATCAATTTATGCTTATTTTCTGATACTCTGAGATAAATCTAAAATGTTCGTTCCTTATTCTTCTATCCTCCATTTTGAAAATGTCTAAGAAACAAAAAAATAAACAATAAAAAATTAAAAATGTTACATAGATTATTTAAGGGGTTCGGTAGTCGGTAGACTTAACTTTCAGTGACCTTTATTTATACAGTTGCTTTAATCACGCACGTACATTGTCTGTACAGTGTATATAGTCTATATTAGTCGCAAAATAACACTTTTTTGCTTTTGTGACCGGAAAAAAAATTATAAGGTACCTATTGTGAATCAGACATACCACTCTAGAAATGAAGGGTAACTTGAAATAACAACTACAATCCCTTTATATTAACCACTGGCAACGCAGGAAAGTACATATTTTTAATAAATTCAACAATCACTTCATCGTGGTAGTAAACCCTTAGCCAAAGGGACAAACGAAAAAAGTATAGTTTTCCAATAAATTCTAAAAATCACTTCATAATTGTCATAAAATCTTGACCGAAGGCACAAAAAATGTCATTTATTTTTTAAAGTAATTGTTTAAATGAAAAAATATAAAAATGTAAAAAATGTAAGTTAGTTTTTTCTAAATAATTGTTTAAATGAAAAAAATAAGAATTAGTTTTCTAGTTTTCATGTTGAGATTATGACAGAAGAGGCTTAGGATGAACAAGCTACAATATGTCATTTTAGGTTTGACAAATTGGCGCCGTATCCTGCTACTACCTTTTATGTTTATTGTTTTCTTAAGATAATGTTTAAAACAAACACAACTAGCAAAATTTTAAATTTTAAGCTCTAGGTTCTGTACAATTATATTTAGGAAACTTTAATCTTATTGTTAACCCTCTCTGCTGTTCTTTGTAATCTGATTGGCTGTTCGGATTCTCCAATCGACACTCTGATTGGTTATATTTATACACTGTCCAGGATACAAACAAACGATTAAATTAATCTTGAGATTAATAAAAAGAGATTAAGCATTTATCTAGATATCTCACGCTTATAAAGTTCAACTCAAAATCTGCCACACAAAACCTGGTCTCAATCGATTCAGCCATTTTGACATTTATTGAATACAGAGTCCCTGACAGACAGACAAACAAACACCACAAGCCAATTATAACTATGTAGATAGAGACATAAATATATTTTGAAGTTAAATGAATTAAAGTTTCATTTTCTAATCTTTATATTATGATTAGATTTATAATTCAGGGTAAACAAGATTAAGGATTATACGGAGGNCATAAACTGTTTGTTATTGATCTTTTAAGAAACCTTATTCGGAGACAATGTAAACAACTTTGTTAGATCAGGGACAATACCTATTATCTACTAAATAGCGAGCACATTAATTCTAGAATTAGTTTCATGATCCGAACCAAAACAAGGATAGTGTAGTGTGTACCCAGTATGTGGTTGACCAAACGCGGTTTTTGCAACACAGAATTAGGCGGGCTGAACTATATGCAAACCATAGACGTGGTTCAACCACTTGGCAGATTTCTTCAGTTTGATTACGAGAGAAATGATTGAACTATTTAAAATTCGGTTATGGTGATGGACCAAACCTCTGTAGAGTAAAAAAGTAGATTTTAGTTCCACATTTTGTTGAAAATATATTTCGGTCTAGGTTGACCCTCGTCAGTTCTAACTATATTTTAACCATGAAAATCAATGTGAAAAACCACTAGAAAATAAACAGACAAAAAGATTATTTTAAAAAGATCAAATGGGCTGTCAAATGGACAAAAGGGAAACGAACTCAGATTATGAGATGGAAAAAAGATAATTTGCAAATATTTACTTTTCAAAGATCTTTTAAAGAAAATTATCATTCCTTGAGATTGTTTCTGTCATGAAGATTAAAAAAATTGTTTAGTTTATATGTAAAGTGTATTAAGTGTTGGTTGGGGTCGATCTAATTAACGAACTTTTACGTAACTTTGTCCGCTGCGGGGTCCAGCTTCTTCTATTTTTTTTCTAAATCTTGTCCTAGTTTTTTAATTTAACCAATAATGACAAGTTCTGAGATTACGCTGTAAATGTAATAAATAATTCTGTTCACACATCCTCTCGATCGCATCGGATTTCTATGGCAATTAAATTGATTTAATCGAACGTTTGTAATTTCCACTCAATTGGTCTTTTATTTTATTTTACTTTTGGTCGGCTAGATCTTAACAACTAACTATTAATTTTGATATTTTGATGTAAAGTAGTAATCTTTGTTTGTCTTTTTGTATGTCCGATCATAACTCATGAATAAAACGATCGATTAGCCTCAAATTTTGAACTCAATTTTAGAATTGTAAGTTGACTTTTTAAAAATATTTCTTCTTGTTTAAAACAGCTTGCAAATCAAGCGATCAACGATTGGAAGTGTTTCTGTAGATTAATAGGATAAGTCTGTACCCCTTTTAGAGTTACTCTTGTGAATAAAACACACCCGACTAGAAATTACGCTTAAGTAATTTTAATACAGTGGCAAGCAGTTTTTTAATTCTATTTTCTACATTTCTGGCCCAAATATAAACTTTAGGGAATATTCGTAATGTTTTTCAGAGCACTGTTAAAATATTTGTCTAAATATTGATATAAACTGTAAAATATATATAAACTGTATATGTTTACTGGAAAGAAAGTTTACTGAAGCTGAGACTTAAAAATTGAAATTTTTAGAATAAAGAAATATTTTTTTATTTCAAAACATAAAATTGATCCAAGCTACTTTCAACGTGATTTTCAATGTTTATTTTTTCAAAGAAGAACACTGTTGTTGATTTTTTTTCTATCTCAAAATTCAAATATTCCGTTCAGAAAGTCACTTTTTTATATCAAAATGTAGGACAAATTGTCCTAGATTAAATAAAAGTAAGAATATTAAAAACTGTTGTAAATTGTGTATGTTATGTTGGGTCTCTTCAATATTCAAATAAAGGGTCACTTAGAATAATCTTACCATAAACAAATTATATAATTTCTTTCTAAATACTCACCCCCCCCCCCTAGCTTCCCCTGTTTCTAAATCTGTATTCACATTAGCACATTAACTAGCTAAAATCTGAGTAACTAATTGCTCTGCCTAACTCTCCATCTAAACCTTCCTTCCAATTCACAAAATCCCCAGAGGGAATCTCTCTGTCCAGGGTCGTAAATAGCGGGAGGGTTATGGGGGCTATATCCCCCACCCTTCAGAAGTAAAAACTATGATTTCAAGGGGGATTTAGTTCCCAATAGGCGCTTAGCTTGAATGTCTTAAAAGGTTTAGGTTTATCCCTCCCTGGACAAACTCCTATATACGCCCCTGTCTCCTCCATTCCCTAGACTTAATTCCTTTTTTTCTCAACAAATATTTTTTGTTATTTGACACACTTACAATACACTTCAAAACAAAATACCAAACGAAAAATAATGTTTTGTTAGAATATAAAATCAAAATGCGTGCACAATTCATCATATATTTTTTTAAGGTTGATCTTTTTGCCAAAATTTTTTAAGTTTTCTGATCATTTTTTACCGTCAAGAAAACCACAAGAATTACAGAACTGTGAATCCTATATCTTGCCCCTCCCTCCATTATAATACGATGGTATGATAAGTAAGCTTGGCAGGCTTGAGATAATTAGGTATTGTCTAATGAGTATATAAGAATCACCAGGACATCCTCTAATCATCAATATTGCCAAGAAAAAACTAACACGTTGTTAATCATAACTAACATGCAAACAAGTGAAAAGTAGCATTTAACAAGTTTAGAATATACGAAAATGAATGGCTCGAGTCTAGAACTTTGTTATCACTTGTTTTCATTTTCTCTT